TCTCCACTCTTTGTACTCGCATGTCTCCTTCTATTTAGGTGCTCTGCTTCCTGCGCTCGCTGCACAGCGTCCGACAAAGTAAGCCTGCTGCTTATGAAAGCACAGCTCTGATATAATGAGTCTGTTCGGTGCAAATCCACCCTGCCTTCTGACTGTGTTAAATAAACGTGCTGCGTAGGGGAGAGAGGGCTGAATGTATTGTGGACACCGGGTCCTTAGGGGGGATGCTAACCTGGCTACGAACCAACCCGGGTTTTGCAAGCCCTCTCCGCCGTCTGAATGAATCGGACTCCTTGTTCACTCCCTCTTGGACTCTCCCCGCAAGAAAGACAGCCGCAAAAAACAAGATGGTCGAGGAAACACTGCGGGCTGTATCCCATCTCTTTGAAGGGAAAGAGGAGGTTGTGGGTGTGGATGCAGGAACGCATCCTCGAGCCAGGGCATGAGGAAGAAGCCAGGTCTTGGGGCGGAGGGCCTGCTTTCTCTGCCTCCGCGCCTTTCCGTGGGATGACTTTAACCCAACCAGAGCAGAACGGCCATGAGATTTTTGTCCCCCATCTCTCCTTAACACCCCTCTGCGGCACACACACACAACCCTATTTGAGAACTGTGCCCCCTTAATGCCAGGATGATGGCACTGCTGCAGCCTGGCCTCGGCCACGTGTCCAAGGGCAGGCGGCGTGTGCCCCACCCTACACCAACAGGCAGAGCCCTTTGCTCACCGGGTGGCTTTTTCCTGGCACACGGTTGCACCAGGCTTGCTCAGGGAGCAGCCACCCTGGGGGTTTGTTGTGGCAGCAAACAGAGCGGCTTGGTCACGCCTGCCGGTTTCAAAGGAGGGGCCAATGCACCCGGCTCCGTGGATCCCGGCTGCCCACACCCGGCGCCACTCTGGATCCTGTCCCCTGTCTGAGCTGGAGCCGTGCCAGTAGCAAGCTGGTCTCATGGGACGCGCTTGCAGATGGTCCCTGGAGAGTTTAACCCATGTTTACAACATTTGGGGCTATTTGATTGCACCCTCCAAGCCGCAGTTGCATGCCGGAGACGGCCTAATTTTTCTCCTGCTTGGCGCAGACCTAAATCAGGACTGACTCCACTCACGTTATTCCTCAATGAGTTGACCCATGGAGCGACTCCTGGGTAACAGTGGGGTGGGTAGGATGGGGTCCTCTTATCATCCATTAAATCGCAATGCTAACAGAGCGCTGGGCGGGTGGCCTTGACGGTCCCTCTGCAGGAACGTCCGTCACTGGTGTGAGGTTTAAGGGTCCCTGCGCTAATCCTGTGGTCTAACCTAGCTGAGCTGGTCACGTAGGTGCCTTTAATGTTCAAGGAAAGCCCTTTTTTGGTTGTTTTTTTGTTCAAGGAAAGTCAATTTGAAGAAAAGACAGGAGAGAAGCCCCAAATGAAGCCGGTAGCAGGTTATGGGTTAATCATTTAAACGGGGGGTTGGGTGATCTATGCACACGTATGTGCGTGTGCACTGCATGAGTTGATTTAACCATGTTAAGGACTTTGGCATCATGCGTTACCTACCTGGCTGGGAGACCTGTACTGACTTCTTCACACATACAATCACAAGAAATAAAAAAATTTAAAATCCGCCACCGAGAAAGTCTGCGACACCGTCTCTTCTACGAGCAGCCTATATTTGCAGAGCAAAGCCCCCTTGATAATAAGGAATTGTCCTTTTTCCTCAAGGTTTCAAGAACAAGCCCTGGACCAGGCCTGTGGTTTGGGAAACGTTTGGGCAATAACTGCTGCTTGCGGCCGGGCTTTCTACCAGCATTCATGTACTCAGGCTTCCCTCCCGCAACCCCCTGCAAAAAGCCTTGAATATTCCTCCACAAATGGGAGCGGAAATGGGCTGGGGATACTCAAAACCCCGCCAGGCTGGTTAGTGATGCAACCGAAATGGAGACAACCTACATAAATCCTGGGATTTCTGCACCTGAGCAGCGCCGGCTGCATTTCAGCGTCTGACTAGCAAGCGAGCGCTCTCGGCAAAGCTTTTGCCAGGGGCAGGATTCACAAGGACACCTGCCCATGGCCGATGACCAGCAACCCCCGCGCTCTGCCTGAGCAGGTTTTGTGGACAGGAAAAGCGGGGCCGTCCGACGAGGACATGACTTCTCGTGAATTATTTCTGTTCTGTTTCCGGCTTGCCGCGTGGCTCTCCAGCACCCCTGCCCCTCGAGCCCTGCAAAGCGCTCGCACGCTAGGGAGATTGTTTTCCTGCCCAGATATCATTTGATGCTTCGGGCCGGGGGAAAGCACATAAAGAGTTAGCAGCAAACCGCTGCCTTCTCTAAGGCAGGATGCTAAGCCCATTGAACGATGCAGGAGGAGAGAGCTCATTATCATTAGCCGCTTTGGACTTTGGATCGGGCATCTGCAGAAACCCCCTCCACTCATACAGTGCCTGAAGTTGCTACAGCCCGAGCCTGACTTAGCACAACTCTTTCCCAGCAGCTTGCAGACTGCGACTGTTTATTCAAGGCAAGACAGAGCGGGAGGCTTAATTTGCAGCCCTCTGAAGTATTATGATTTATGGCCCCCATAATGAAACTGGTGATATTTATAGCGAAAACGCTCTCCTTTTAATTTCCTATTCCCCTTCCAGCCAGTTAGGTAGTTAATCAATCCCAGCTGATTAATGTCCAGTTTATTGATTTCAATAAAACAATTCAGTTAAGAATTTCGCCCTTATCTGTGTCGAGCCTGCCTCCGGGCCAGCTCACTCTTGGCTTCATAATGCGCTTGCAGCCTTGAAAAAACAGACCGTAGCGGGGAAGCCCTTAGGATTTAAGTCCATTTGGAGGAAAGGAACCAGCTCTGCAAACCCTCCACGCATGCACACAAATCCCACCGGAGAGCAGGCGGTGAGACAGGCACCAGTGAACTCCACCTCCATTGACTGAGCTAAGACTTCACACCTTCATTTCCCAGCGCACAGCTCTGCAGGGACTCATCTTGCTGTCCTCGCTCGGGCAAAACCCCCACTGAAGCCAGATTCATACGTGGCGGCCTCATCCAGGACGGAGAATGCAAAGCCAGTTCCCGAGCACGTTGAGTGAACGTCCCTTTGGGTTCACCGGGGATAGTCTTGAAGGGAGCTGGCTTCGCTGGGAGGCTGGCCTGAGGAAGGACTGTCAAAGCAGGACCCAACCACATGTCAAGCGGACGTACCGCCACTTCTGTATCTTGCCCCTTTTTAAAGCGGTCACAGCAGCTGGTCAGGGGTATTTCTTGATTTGCATTCAAGGAGACAATGGTTGATTTATTTGGCCCTTTGTGTGCATTTAATCTAAGAGATATGAACTCAAGCAACTAATGATATTTTTTACCAATCCAGTCCTCACTCAGCTCCAGCGGAGGCACTTTCAGGCCCCTGTTTTATCTTCATTCCAGCTCTTGGTGTAAAATTCTTTGGCAGGTTTGCCCAGAGAAGATGTTTGTCGATTCCTTTTCTCCTTTATCGAGCGCTTCGAGCTTCCCTCCCCTCGAAGGACTGAGCAAAAGAGCCCAAACCTAAAGATCCCAAACCTGGAAGCGGTTTGGAGAAGGCCAGTCTCAGTGGGAACAGGAACCAATCCCTCCCCCATCACACGGGCTCTGGAGTCAGCGGCCCGGGTGGCGACGCTCTGATGCGTTCATCGCCCATCAAAGATTTTGCCTTGCGGCTTGCAGCGGGGAGACAGCTCTGCCCTGCAGAAATTAGCCAAGTAACAAGCTACGAAAGCAGGGCCTCACCCACCGTGAACAATGCACAGACCCTGCTCTAGTCAAGGAACAAAATGCATCAAAATTAAGTTATACGGTCTGCCCAAGCCTCGTGGCCCATCAAGCTAGCATGGCTAAGGCGCGCCGGCTTCTCTAACCAACAGCTGGGAACGGGCATAATGTGCCTTGTACCATGTCCTTGCCTTGGACACCCCAGCTTTGATGGTCAGGTACCTCTGAACACCAGGGTTGATGAAGGTAGCCTTTGGCGTGAGCCTATAGCAACCGCTGAACTCATGCCTCTGCATACATCGTGAGACGCTGTAACCACATCCTGAACAGCCTCCACATCCCTAATTATGCTTGCAGCTAATTAAATTAGAGCTCTTACTGTGTGATCATCTAATTGCGATTGCTATGATTGCATTTTGCGTGGAGCCTTTCATGGCAGAGGCTTCCCGAGTCCCATTCCCAGAGCGCCGCTGAAAAGGCAGGAAGGCACCGATCAGCTTGTGCGCTATGCAGCACGACGAGGGGAAGGGGCAGATGAAATGCCATCGGCTCGTCAGGGCACATCCTGGGCTGCAGCTGCCATCCTTCAGTCTCACCCACCTCCGCAGCGGCTATCATGGCTGCACCCACCCTGCTGCAAGGGGTCTTGGCCCCCACACACAGGTGTTGTGCCAAGATCCCTAGGTCAGTGCAAGTACAACTAGTGCTGCCGGAGCAACCTCTGGGGTGAATGCAGAAGTGGCTTAAAATGGTGGGACGTCTCCTGTTTCCGGTATAAGCGCCTATGCCCTAGTGCAATGGCCGTGCCCACTTCAGAAGGGTTGTGCAACATTAGCTTTCCTGGTACAGCTAATGTGGTGCAACTTTTGGGTATAGACAGCAGCCAAGGGGCATGGCACCAGATCCTCACTGCACCCGGGAACAGGCAGACACCTCTGCCCACCCCCCGAGGATGCATTCAGGAGATGCCCCTATCCCCTGGTCTCAGGCCTCACTCTCCCCCGTCACATTGTAGACTGCCTGGGACACTCAGCAACGTCGTCACAGGGGAAGTTCAAAGCTTTGGGAAACTGTATAAAGCAATTAAGCAGCTCTTCAATCACAGTGAGAGCCTGAACACATCTCAATCCGACCTCTCTGCTACTGAGGCTCTCCTCCGTCCCCGGGGAGAGGGGAGTGGAAAGGCTTTCCAGCTTGGGAGGATCCCATTGTAGCAGTGATGCATTTGGTAAACCCCCCAGAACGATGCATCTGGTAAAACCCCCGCCTCCAAGTGTCTCTTGCCCATGAATTCACCTAGATTTTCAACCAGAGACATGTGACAGGCGTCACTGGGAGTTTGAGTGCTGAACAGGGGAACAACCTGGTATCAACCTGCTTTTCCAAAACGCCAAGAGTCCCGCAGCTATTCAGGGGGATGGCGACTGAGACTGGGCTTGTTGGAAAATAGGCTTCATAGATTTCATAGATATGAGGGCTGGAAGGGACCTTGGAAGATCATTGGGTCCAGCCCCTGCCCCAGGGGCAGGAAGTCAGCAGGGATCACAGGATCCCAGCAAGATAGACATCTAGATGTCTTTTGAAGGTGTTCAGTAGGTGCTTGAACCACCTCCGGTGGCAGTCAGTGCGACTGCTACTCAAAGAAACACCTGAATCCAGATCTGCCTTTTCCAGGTTATATTTTTCCGTCCTGTGCAGCGTAACCAAAATCACTCTCACATTGCGGGGTGCTGCCCAGCCGCCCTATATAACATTTCTGTTTAAAAAGCCAGTGTTTCCCAGTCCTCCAGGTTTCTGATGTACATTTTTATCTTTCTCTGCCTGCAATGATTTGTCTGGCACTTCGTGCAGAAAGAGACAGCCGCACCCCTTTGGCTGCATCCCCACGACTTGTCTAGAAACCAACTTTAAAAAGCCTTTGCAGAGGAAACAGGCTGCTAACATGTGCGTGTGCTGCCAGAGGCGGCCGTGCTGGCGCGGTTTCACAACACGAGCGGGGAACGGCGTGTGCTTGAGTGTGGGAGAGTCTCAACATTCAACTGTGCAAACTGTCCTCAAGCAGGGAACTCTTCTCTCAACTCGCCCTGTGCCCACTGCAATCAGTGGTTGGACGTCTATGGACTCAGGACAACTTCCAGGCAGAGAGTTTTGGCCCCGCGCTTGCTGCTTTTAACCCTATCCAGTAATGAGAGGTCCCATCAGGACAAGGAGTTTGGAAGCTGTAATGCTTCCAAGCAGAGTAACTCCTAAGGGAGAAAGCAGGGTGGCCCGCACAGAGCAAAGGTGGCAGCAGGAGATAGCCCGGGGCATCGAGGAGGGCTTAAGGGGCTGAACAGGGGGGATGGAGCCGGTCCCATATGGGTAAAGACAGCTAATTAAAGGTGTTTCTGCGCAGGGAAATTTCCTGGCAGGTTTGTAGGACCGGGTCCTTGGCTGTGCTCCCATGTAAGTCTAAAGGGAGCATCGCCTGCCCCCCTGCACAACAGCAGGAGTCTCCTGACAGCGGCTGGATCTCTGGCCGTGAGGCTCCTCGTGCCTGGGAAATAGGGATGTTTTCCCATAGCCACCGCCCAGCTCAGCAGAGAAACAGGCCAGGCTGCACGATGGGGCCAAATCCTCTTCCCTGCCTTGGGAGAGCTGCCCATCTCAGTGCCTGTTAATACCAGCAGGACATGACCCGCCTGGGTACCCGTGGGAAGGTACCTCACACCCGCAAGGAATAGGGGAGGGAGAAGAGGAGGATAAACCTCCACCCGGCCTACCCCTGCCTGGCCTGTCCGTGCCCCCAGCCATGAGCCGTTCGGCCCTTTCCAGCCAGGATCTCCCAGCAATGCCACTGTGTCCTTGCAGTCCCCTTGGACCAGGTTAGCGGGGCCAGGAGAGGCAGGAGCTGGCCGTGCCAGTGCCCACCAGGGTCAAGGTGAGCGTGGAGTGGCCTGGGCAGGGGCTGGAGATGGGGCAAGGCAGCAGAGCTGGGCATTGCACCCAGGGGCAGCGGTGACCCCGGGCAGTGCCCGGCCCGTGTGAACCACATCAAAAGGGCTGTGCCCCTGGGACAATGGGCGAGGACAATGAGCTCGGGATCTCCATGACAAAGCAAAGCGCTGGCCGATTTGGGCTGGCCCGGAGGGGGGCACTACCTGGGAGGCCTCCCTGCCTTTGAACTGGCCGCTTGCCCCGCAGAGATATTTCCACTTTCCCACCCCCCCGCAGAGGTCAGGAGTTCAGCCGGGGCCAGGACCCCGCAGGACCAGGCTGGAGCTTCCCCCCGGCCCCGCACACCCGCCTTCCCCACCTCCCCTTCTGCATGTGCATCTGCGCCCTGCGCGCCCATCGCTGTCCAGCCTGGCAGGCACCTGTCCCGGGCAGCCCAGCCTCGGCCCTGCAGCCGGGACAGCGCCTGGCTCTGCTGGCAAGGAGGGGCCGCCCGTCCCAAGTGCCTTGAAACCCCCAAAGAGTCCAGGGGCCCTGGACGCTCCATCCCGGCCTTGACCCTGGACCCAGCTCCTGCCTCTCCGGGCCCCGCTGACCTCTTCCAAAGGGTGCCGCAAGGACAGCACCAGGGCGATCCAGGCTGGAAAGGCACCCAGCCGGTAAAGCCCAGGGCAAGTGCAACACCTGTGAGTGCCAGCCAAGAAAAGCCCAGCCTAGCCCAGCCCCGCCGGCCCCGGGGTGCCCAGCAGGCAAGGAGTGGGGTCTGGGGGTGCCTTACCGCCACTGCTGCCACTGGGGGTGCTGCGCCTCATCCACTCGAAGGGCGTGCGCCTCTGCGCGCCGGGGGACAGCTGCGGCATGGGTGGCGGGAGGAGTCCGGAGCCGGGAGGCTGCAGGGGGTTGAAATCCGGGGGGCCGAAGCCCAGCTGCGCCGGGCTGGCGGCCGAGGGCCCATACGAATGCCAGTCGTCCTTGCTGGGTGCATAGGGAGAGCCCCAGGCGCCCGCGGGCTGGCTGTGCTGGGGGTCTCCGGGGATCCCCGGCACATGGTGGTAGCTGGCGAAGTCCGGGTACTGAGGGGGCGCGGGCGCGTAGCTCTGCGGGCTCAGGCTCAGGCTGGGGGGCCGAGCAGGGCTGGGGTACATGGCAGAGTCCTTATCCAAGAGGTAGCCCACATACATGGTCCCCCGTGGGCGCTGCGCGCATGCTGCGCCCTTCCCCTGCACGCTGCTCCGCTGCTGCCTGCCTGCCTGCTGCGCCTCTCACCTGGGCTGCTCCTCGCCCTTTGCTAGAGGCACCTCCCTGGGGGGAAAAGGCTTTTTATTGGGCCAAGCACTGGGAGCATTTGCATGGTGAGATAGGCTCGCACTTCAAAGGGCAGGAGCCGGGCTGGGGAGCCTCCACGGCTACCCAGGGCCTGGCCAGAAGGAAGCCAGAAGCCGTGGGGGGGAGGCAAAGGCAAGGTCCAGGCTGGGCAGGGGCAGCCCCAGGCTTTGGTCACCTCCACCGAGCCCCTGGGAGCGACTGGGAGCCAAGCCTTGGTAAGAGCATCTCTAGTCTCTTCCCATGCAAACGCCGGCCCTGACCTCAGGGCTCAGCAGCCATAAGAAAGGAATTGGAGACCACCCGGAAAGTGGAAACCTAACACAAGGAAGTTCATTTTAGCCGGCGAGGCATTGCAGCGTGGAACTCCTTGCCGCAGGATGTGGGGGAAGCTGGGAGTCCAGCCGCATGCACAGAGGGCTTGGAGGAAAGGGGCGTCGGGCGCTATCGAGCACAGGAGCGAGCGGCACGGCCTCTGAGTCAGAGCTTCCTAGCCCCTAAATGCTGGAGGCTGCGAGGAGCAGGGGGGACACCCCACTCAGACCCCGCTCACCCTGCGGTCCAGCCTCCGCTCCCTGCTGCCGTGCGGCGGACGAGACTGGGCAAGACGCACCCAGGGTCTGACCCCATAAATGGCAATTCTGATGTCCTTATGACCTAGCTCCCTCCCTCCAGACCCGGCTTGGACCCCCTGCCTCGGGAACCCACAGCTCCCCCCGAAGTGGCAGGACTGGGACACACGGATCGTGTCGGGGAAGGGCAGAAAGACTGGGGCAGCGCGGGGTATCTTGCCCCAAAAGGGGCAGGGGTGTTTGCACATGGGATCCTGTGTTGGTCTAACAGCCTGAGCCTATAACACACTGACTTGGAGGCTGGATTCACGCTGGGGCCGAACCCAGCTCAGCAAGGGCCAGCCGTGTGCCGGGGCCAAATGACCAAGACGCCGGCGGGGGGAGCGGGAAGGTCTAGCGCGGTGCAGCCGGCGGCTGGGCTGGGAATGGGCCGGCAGGTGGACAGACAGACTGGGGACTCTCAGGCACAGGCACTGCCCAGGGAGGGCCTTGCAATTTCTCCCCTGAGCTCAGCACCGCTAGGAGCCGGGTCGAGCTGGGAACAAGGGGTCTCCCAAAAGGATCCTGCAGTCCTGGGGTCACTGCTGGCCTGGTCCCTCCTCCCAGTTGCCCAAAGCTTGTGCCCGTGGCCCCCAGCGTGGCCTTGGGGCTCCCTTATAGCCCCCTGCCCCCAGCTCAGACCTCACTCTGTCCCTGGTCCAAATCCAGGCTCCTGCTTCTGCCTCACTGAGCCCCTGGTGAGGAGGGGAATGGAGCCCCGGGTGCATGGGGGAGGTTTTCTTGCAATTTTCTCTCTCCAAAAAAAAATTCCCAAAGACCTGAGAGTGCCTTTTCCAGGTGGGGAGACCCCCTCTGAGCCGCGGGGGGAAGGCAATGCACAAGGCTGCCCCTGCCCCAAGCTGGAGAGAACCTTTGCCTGGTAAATGAAGGCACCTAGAGACCTTGCCAAGCCTCTGCCCTGACCTCCTGGATAGCACCAGCCAGATAAAGCCTGAAGCCAGGCGGTTCCCAGTCCCTGTGGCTAAAACCAGACAACCGGCTGGATGCAAGATAATGCATCGCCTCAGGCTACGGCTTGCAGCAAAAGTGGTGCAAGGCAGTGGGCTCCACGCTAGGCTGAACCGGCAATGAACCTGCATCCGCCGCGATGGCTTTGAGGCAGGACGTTCACTGGGGCATTCACAGGGACCTCATGGGGGGCACGGGGCCTGTCAGTCTGGAGATAAGACGCGCACATGCAATGTAAGCCCAGAGATTTCAGCCGGTGCAGCCCAGAGCTCCTGCTGAGCTGGGACTGGTTCCAGACCTGGTGCCATCCAGGGGGCTGTGCTAAGTGGTCCTAGGTGATCACCAAGCCCAGTGTTTCTGCAGGGTTAAAAGCTTGATGATATGGGGCTCTCGTAGCCCGCAAGAGACTCCCAGGATTGACAACTGGTCTGAGAAGGGAGTGAGCCACCAGGCTGGGGCATGGATCTCCAGTCCTGGTTCAAAGACTGCAGCAGGAGACTGGCTGTTTCATAACCAGCAGCAAAGAGATCACAGTGCTCTTTCATCAAGCCCTGGAGAGGGCACGACAAAAAAAACCCCATGCAACAAGACCAGCAAAGCACCTACCCGCCACCACACAATGTGTCCTGCTACTGGGAACACAGGGCCACATCTCCTGTTGCCTTCCAGCAAATGGATGCAGCCTGGACCCTAGGAGGCAGGGATGTTTTGGGCTAACAACCTGGTGACCTGGACTGTGGTTCGTGCTAGCACAAGCCATGACCTGGGATGGAAAACCATCCGCAGGCACCAGCCCCCTGGATTTCCTACATCCTCTGCCCGTGTAGGTGTGCACGATGTAGGGCAGTGCCAGGGAGCTCTATGCCAAAACGGCCGTGGCTGTGCAGCGTGGCACCAGGCGCAGTCATGACAGCAGCACTGGGTGAAGTGAACACCACTCTCACGGCAGCTGCAGGACACTTGGAGTCTCTCCTGGGACAATCACCCCTTCAGCCACGGTCCCAGCAAGGGCATGCCGGTGCCTCCGCCTGTCCTTCGCGTACACCGTGTCCTAGTCACCGGGTCTTAAGCCAGGTCCCGCGTCTGTTTGTGAAGGGCTCTGGGGCTCCCGGGGATGCTGTCAAAGTGCAACCATTTATTTGCTCAAGGTGGGATTTCCAAAGGCGCAGCACTGCCGGGGAACAGAGCTAGGACAGCGCTTCTGAAACCCTCGCCGGCACCCCCGGCATGATAACCCAGTGCGGGCATGTCCAGATCCATGCTCCTGGCTGGGCTCGCTCAGAGGCCCCTTGCTGGCAGTCCCCTATGTCCCATCCTGTTCTGCTTCGATGTTTCTTGGCCCCAATTCAGCCCAAGCTTGGGCACAAATATGCACGCGCGTAGAAAGTCGACTAGAAACCCATTTCATCGGCTCCTCCTGTGCAGGGCCTGCACAGGCCTCTGGGATCCCCAGACCCCTAATGAGATGGCACGGAGATTTGAATGGATCTGAAACGCTTGGCTTGCAAAGCAGAGACGCCCGGTCCCACCCTGCCGCAGCCGGGGCTCCTTGGCTCGGATGAAATGGGGCGGCATAGTCCTTCAGGGGGCGTGGGGCAGGGATCAGGAAAAGGGAGATGTGTGGGAGCTTCTAGGAGGGAGCAACTCAGCTGCCCCCACTCCACAGGGTGTAGGGGAGGCACGTACCTCCGGGACCATCCTCTCCGGTGCCATCCACAGCTCATCCCCTCCCCGCTTTGCACCCTCTCCCCTGGCCCAGATTCTGCCCATGGGGAAAAGCCATCACAAGGTCTCAGGAGAGGAATGAACCCCCTAAGGTTTTTGTGTATGGTCTCTAGCAGTGTAGGAGAGGGGGAAGACTCATGGTGGGACAGCTGGAAGGGTACAGGAAAGAAGTCGCAGCTGAAGCTGTGTGACTTGGCACGCGGGGGCATGCAGAGGGGCCTGGGAACCCTGCCCAGGGCTCCTGTGTGTCCCATACAAGAGGCGTGGTGGTATTGCCTGGCATAAAGGCCTCTCTGTGGCTTGTGGTGACTGTCCCTCCCCTGTGTCCCTGGCTCCATGATGCATGGGAAATGTAACCGGCCCTACCCACACAATAAATCCCACACTGTCGTACCCGCTGGCTCCTGTGCCCCTTGATTGATGGGCGAATTCTGTCCCTCCTGGTTCCTTCCCATAGCCCAGCCATGCTGGCAGCTTTGTTTAAACAAAAGAGCTCGTCCTCTCTTCCTCCTCCTGCCTGATCATGCAAAGAAGCGCCAGCTCCCTCTTCCCCCACGAAAGTCTGCCGTGAAAAGGGTGGGGAAGTGAAGACAGGACAAGGGAGAACTGGGCCCTGCTACCCAGCGGCTGTGCCCCACCCCAGAGGTGGCTGCATGTCAGTGATAGGCGATGCGCTGTGTACACAGGCCAGATGCAAGCTCCTTTCACAGAGATGGGCGGGGAGTGATCCTGAAGTACCTGCAGCTCGCAGGCAGGGCCTGGGGCCTCGGGAAATGCTGGCCACAGACGCCCCAGGCTGAGCCAGCGCCTGCTGCAATCCAGACACAGCCCTGCCCTCTCCCCCGCCACCGCAGCCCTGCGCACCTTTGCCAGACGCTTGCTCACGACGCTTCCCGCGTGCTGCAAGTTCCCTCCGAGTTGCGAGTTTACCCTGGTGGGAAGGGCTGGGCTGGGGAGGGGAAGGGGGAAGACAATGGGGCCATAAAGATCCTCTCGTGATAACTTCTCTTTTGGATCCATTTTATGACCACCAGGGATTAGGCTTGGAGAAGTCTGTCCATGGAAAACAGCTCACTCTTTATGGGCCTGAGAGCAGGGCTCTGTCTCGGTCAGCTCTCCTGAGGTCCGGCTACGCCCCTGGCCCCCCCATCTCCAAGCAGGATGCCCCTCGCTGGGGGACAAGCAACAGCCCCACCGCCAGGAGAAGTGGGTCTGCACTGGGAGGGACCACCGGCTGACCCCCCGGTGCATGGGGTGTGGAAGGAGACGAATGCTACTGGAGCCCAGCACACGCTGTCCGGGCCCCTTTGCAGCAGTCACCTTGACATCACCTGGGGATTTTCCTGTGCACGGGAAATCCCTGCCTGGTGGCTTCAGCTCCACCTTCCCATTGCAGCAGTCCCCTGCGGGGCTGAGCAGGGCGGCCGCGCTCGCTCCAGGGGCCTGGAAGGAAAAGCCCGGAGCCATAATCCCCGGGGTCCTTGGGAAGGGCCCTGAGCTCAGGGGCTTTCTGCTCGCAGACCCCGTCCACATGCACTGCCCCAGGGAAGGAA